GGCCTTTCCCTTCTGGCTCCGCACCTCTTCTCTGCTTCTTGTTCCCTGTGCTGTGAGCAGCTCTCTTCCTGCAGCCCTCCCTCCTCCTCCCTTCCTCTCTATCATGCTGTTCCTTAGTGGGAGCTGGCCCACCTGTACTGAGATGTGAGCCAAAAGCAGCTTCTCCTGTGAGTGGTGAAAGTCAGACGGCTCGCCTCAGCCTCAAGGCGAGGGATGAAGGCACCACGCCACTGTGTGGAAGTAGGGAGCCTCGTCCTCAGCCCAGTCAGACCCCAGCGCAGCGTTCCAGGCACGCATGGGCTCTTTACCCACGTCATGCGTGCTTCCACCGATCTCTAAAGACCGTTTGCGAATCTTGGGAACGATGGAACAGAAACCTTTATTCTTCTGATGTTTCGGAAGACGTCTTCCTAAGCAGCCGTTTGTGAGCCAGGAGGAAGTGCCGCAAAACCCTTCCGGCGATGGTCCTGCGACAGAGCTCCTGACTCTGGGACTCAGGGCCGGCCAGAGAATCTGGCGGCCAGTGTGGAAAGGAAAGAGATTCTGGGACAGAAACTAGACAGGGCCTGGAAACCCAGAGCGACAGGAAGGGACAGCTCTAGGCCCAAGGGTCCCAGGAAGATTGCTGCCGGGGGCAGAAGGGCACCAGGGCAGATGTGAGCTCAGCTTCTCCTGGTACAAATCACCTGGAGGTGAGATGAACCAGTTCTCTACATTCAGATGCGAGCTCAGTGCGCCCCATAGAACTAGGTAACTTGAGTAGCCTGGTTCCTGTTTTTAACAGTGAAGCTGGGTGTGGTGGCACACACCTGGCATCGCAGCACTCTGGGAGGCTGAGGCAGGAGGATTTCAAATTTCAGCTGTCTGAGCACTTTCCTTAGTGACTTAGTGAGATCCCGTCTCAAAATAACAACTCAACGGGGCTGGAGATATAGTTCAGTACCAAGGCTCTAGGTTCAGTCCCCAGCACTGGAGGAAAAGATGAATCCACAATGTAAACATTTCAGAGGAGAAAGCTCTGGGGCTCTGACAGCTTTGCTGGAGAAATCTACATGTTTAAAGAACACCAACTCTATACAGTCTCCTCTAGAATGCAGAGGGCGACTTCTTAATCTACTTGATGGAACCTGATATGAAAACCAGACAAAGCT